ATAGTTAATCCAAATCCAAAAATTATAAATCATTGAAAATAAAAAAAATTTATATAACTCATTATATACTATACTATGTAGACATAAATAGAATAAAATACATTATCAGAAGAGCAAAATAGTCCATAATACATATTATACAACAATGCATAGTAATTTTGGCTAAATTATAGTTTTTTTTATGTTATACGTGCTAATTTCCCAATTATTTTACCGTTTCGTGTCACCAATCATAATCAATATGGAACAGTTATGAAATCAGCACAAAAATATATGAAAAGTAACAAATAATAGATCCCACCACAAAAGTTTAAGTAGTTGTACAATCCTGAAAAGGTAATAATCTAACAATGGACAATTAACAAACAAGAGAGCTAGCTAACTCTCCATCTTCTCCTGTATAATCAGCGACGGCTAAAGACACATTATCATTCCTTTAATTTTAATGTCAGAATGACAAAGATTCATGTGGGAATGTTGTGTTCTAGATGCAAGGAAAACGTTATACACACAAGTATAGTTGCAATAACCAATACATAAACAATGAAGTGTCTGAAAAAAGATATAAAATAACTGGCTCCTGGTTCAGGAATTACATGTGTTCAACAAAAACAAAAACAAAAACAAGATTAAGAGCTTATCAGTAAAGCCTACCAGTACACTCAGAGGAACCACAATAGCAATTTTTCATCTTGATATTACCGTTAGAGTCGCATACCTGATCGATCTTATAATTGTAATGGTATGTGAGTTCTTCAAGTGGAGGTATATTGTCAGCTGCAAAGAACATAATGTGAGGGATTCTCTTGTCCTCATGGTCGTACAACACTTCTTGCGCATACAGATTTGGCGAGCAGCTATGGTTTAAAAACCTACCTATGTTCCCTTTCCGCGCAGCATCTATTGCAAACCCGCTCGTCTCATCCACCTTGTCAATGTCAAAGAGATACTCATCTTCCCCGGTCCGTCTTTCAGCTTCTTTGTCCTCTAGAAGCTCTCCTACATACTCGCAAATGAAGCTTCCAGAAGAAATGAAGTTTATCGATCTCACTCCCCAGCCTCTTGACTCGGTTTTGAAGATCTCTAACTGAAACTTGATCCCTCGCTGTGTGACTCGGAGGTAGCAAGAAGACGGGCATTTGCAGAGTGGACCACACTCATACACCATAGGCTTGGGAATAACAATTGCTCCATCGTGATTGTAAGGTAATTCTCCACCGTTTTTCGCAACGCATGAGCAGTTTCTTGATTCAGAGCAGCGTTTCGTGCAACTACAACCTTTTGGAGGAATTGGCTTGCACCAATCCGGATATATCATTTTAGCCGTGTAGATAAACGAAGGCGGTTTCTCGTCGTCTATTTCGTTCACAGCGTATATGGGAAAGTTCTCTTCCCCTTCTGCGAGATCAACATTGTAACTAGCATCTCGTAACTTAGATTGCTTCAGCACTACTTTCCAGGAAAGTTCGGGTTGTCCAGGAATACGCCGTAGCCTGAACTGGTAGACGAGTTTACCGTGAGGCCCGGTTTCACTCCAAAACTCTTCCACCAGATACAATCCATCGTAAACATAGTTGTTTGCATCACCTGATGAAGCCGTCTTTTTCCTGCCTCTTATGACTCGCACGGGATTCTTATTGACTTTACTATTTGCCAACGCGAGATTTCCCCTTACAAGCTGTTGGTCTTTAGGTTCGAGGTCTCTCTGTCCCTTCTTCGTTCCTTTCAACACATTTCCGCCTTGACCCGTGTAGGTCAAGACATCCGAGTTATCATGCTTGTCATCATAAGATCCAGATGATACAACACTAGTAGCAACTAGTTTCCCATTCATTTTTACAGAATCAATCCCGCCTTGACTTGGTCTATGTATACCAAGAATGTTAAGCTCCGTTCTGTATATAAACTCATCGCCGACTTGAACTCCAGGGACATGTCCTACAACTGGATCACTAGTGTTAAGACATTGCCCTTTACTCTTGAGAATCTTCGAAGCCTTGTAATCCACTCTGAATTTGCTATCTTTCTTTATCGTAAGCCTTGCTTCTTTCTCCCGCAAAACTTTTCTACAAGCAACATGGAAAATACGTTGAGTTTCCTTAACTTTGTGCCGAGCCCTATCCCATGTGTTTGAACCACCCGGACACAAAATAGCTAAGCTCTCTTTATCTTGGATATCCTTCCCATTATTCTTCCTCATAGATCCTTCACCGTACTTGGAAAGCTTCAAGGTTGAAGGAGGCATTGCAAGCCCTTTCCTTGTTCTCGGTCTGAGCCGCGTGGAAACCGGTGGAGACTCACTCACAGCTGCGACCTTAAGCCGCTTGGACTTCCGAGGAGCGATGGTATAACTACCATTTGTTGCTTGTTCCTCCTCAGAAAAAGCATTACCATTGCGCAACGAACCTTGCTTCGATGACTCTCCACGTTCCATGTTGTCCATTCCTATTCATGTAATAAAGAATACAAGACTGATATATAAACTAATTAAAAAACACACCACTGTACTAGTTGCAACAAGCATAGCCACTTAGAAAGTTTAATAGAACAATTGCATGCACGTTTTGATATCCTAAACAGATAAATTGCATGCATTGTTTATACTGTAGATTATTTTCTTTTCTTTTTGTCATCAGAATAATAAACTAACTACCAAGATTCCGTTACCTAAATCCGTGGAGTAAATTATTCATATGAACGAATCTAAACCTATTATCAATCCATGAATAATAACAGTAGATTATTCTTCTTTCTTTTTTGTCACCAAAATAATAAATTAATTTACCAAGGTTTGGGGTCAAAATCTAAACTATTATTAATCCATGAATAATATACTACGAAATTGTCCATTTCCTTACCGGAGAAAAATCTTCGAATGGGAAAAATGGAGGAGGAGATTGGCTTTGGAAGAGCGGAAGATTCTGGTATTAGCTGCAAACAAAACAGAACAAATCATTTAAACGATCTTTTATAATAAGGATTCAAATTTCACTGAAATACAAACTCTTATACCACATCATCTCCCGTAACAATTTTGCTTTCCGCTATGGAGTCGGTAAGCATCATATTGTCACTTCCAATTCCTATTTATACAAGTAGAATAAGACAATTGAACGTTAGATAGATTAGGGTTTTTAGGTGAATTTTCTTGTTTTGGAAATATATCTTTGAGAATATCCTAAATTTCCAGATTTTCGGTGATAGTTAGTGATTCAGAATCTATTTTAAAAATCAGAATGTTATAGAAATTTTTTTCCCAATATAGAATCACACCAAATTTGAAAATCATTTACAGCCACTTGGCGTATATATTTCGGATAGAAAGTTAAGATTTGGATTTATATATTCAGTAGTGAAAAATGTGATTTAACAACAAAATTTAACTAAATTGATTTCAAGACCAATGATAAATAAACTATAGTCCAAAACATAAACCCATTTTGAACAAAAACCCTACATCCAACTAAACCCTACTCATATTCGACTACTAAACCTTGTTCATATTTCAAAACAAGAACCAAAGATTGTGAAACTCTTGAAAACAAAAGAACAAAAGTAACTCTTCCTCTCATCATTGAAGAAACATAACCGAACGAAAATGCCCACCTGATAGCTTTGGTTGTTGTCAAAGCTTGAAACCAGAGTAATACTACAATAACAATAAGGATCAAGAGATTTTTGTTGGCAATTATTTTTGGCTTTTCTCTGACTTAAATAAAAGAAAATTAAAAAAGCGAATGGTGGAGTCACAACTCCTACAAACGAGGGAATAATGGGAAATGGAGAAGATGGTTTCCTTGACAAAAGAAAAAATAACTAACGACAAACCAAAGTAAAATCAATCATTGAACATACTTTTGGTTTAGTGTCTTGGTTCGGTTTTGTGCTCCATCACCACCACCCATCGAGGCTGTCACATTTTCTTGTTCTTTTTGAAGGATAAAATACGACCGATTGACCAAGTCTTAAGGGATAAGTTGTCCGATTAAATAGGAGTCAAAAGCGTGGTTGTTAAGAGTTTATTTTGTTAAGTTAGTTCTAGTTGTTGCAGTGTCTAAAGCCTATAAAAGGCTCTGTATATTCATTATGTAAAAAAAAGTAATTAGAGATGTAAAAACTTTTGTCATAACGTTTCTCTTCCTCTTCAATTCTCTGTTCCAACAGGTAGTACTCTGTTCCAGACACAACACTTTTCGTTGCTTATGAGAATTGATTCAAAGTACAGATGAAAATCAAGATTTTTTTTTTATTCGTAGCTGGAGATTGATTGTTGTAATCGTGCTTCTTTTAAAATCAAAACTCATAAAGCTACAATAATATCAAAGATTTTGGACCACTTGGATTATCAGTGGCATTAATGTTTTGAAAATCTCTGTTTAC